CCATCAGGGAACACTTCTGTTTGTGCAAATAGCGCAAGCATGTACCAAGCCCCTAGCGTGTTGAATCCACATGCTCAGAATTCCGACGACTGGCTACTATGTTGGCCCAAGAGTCTCATCGAAGCAATCATGCACGCTTAGGGCTTCAGATGTTGAAGTTGAGCTCCGGAAAATGGCTAGCTTTACGCTGTCAGGTTCCAGGGTTCAGGAATGGGGTGTCTTCGTTTGTTGGTCTTGAGGCTTGGCGAAAGCACCAGATACAAGCGTCACTTGCTCCGTGAAGGTCGACATGTCAACACTGGCCTCGGCGAGCTAAGCAGCTTAGGGTGCTCCAGACTTGTCGTGGTCGTGAGTTCTTTCGAAGCGCATGCCGTCATGGCACGAAGCAAGCTCATGGTAACTACCAAGCAAACCCCGTGGTCCAGACCTAGCAGCGCTAAACATCCAGACCTGTTCAGAACCGACCTGAGCCTACTTTGTTGCGCTTGATTTGTTGCACGTGGCTTCCTTGGCAGGTCTTCGAAGATCAGACCCAGCCCAGCAGGGCAAAAGTCTCTCAAGAGCACAAGGAGTCAGGCTTTAGCATGGAAAGACACAGATTCAAGGATGTTGTGCTCGGCATTTTTCGACCACTCGACCTGCGTAAAACGAAAGAATCAACATCCTGAACCCGAGTTTCGTATCGAGGTTCAGCCCCCGGCCGAATCCACTAAATGTTACGAAACCCAAATCCCAAGCAAGGCAAGAAATCACGCCTAACTGTCTTGCAGAACGAAACCTCGCCCGATGCCACACCAAGTAGCTATCGGAACCCGGGAGCCTTTGGCATTCCTCAGCCAATCGGAGAACAGATTTTGTTCAGGGTTGAGGTTGGACCCCGACACTCGGGAACCGAGATCCACAATGCAAGAATACTAAAGTCTTACACCCTAAATGCCCTGAGCCCTCACTACATCTGACCACAAAGCGCAAGGGCCCTCAAGACCTGAATACCAAACTCGGAAACGTATGAAGAATGGCAATCGTGCGAGGTGAATGCTTGAGTTTATGGTAGAAAGCTATGCAGTTGTTGCAATCGTGAGGGCTTTCGGGCTGAGGCGTGGCAAGCCTTGAAGAAACAGTCCACGTGTTCTAGCCACGCCGCTTGTGGATGTGCCACCGGTTCCCTAGGGAAACCGGCCAGCGACAACAACACAAACAAGAAGCAGCAGGGCTTCATCCGACAGAACCTTAAACATGTGAAGCAGCTTCAACAAAGCATGAACTATCCTTATGGCCTTATGGCTTCATGAAATGCCGTACACAGGCCAGCATTAGTTCAGCTTGGGCAATGATCGCACAGGCAGAAGGACATACTTAAAGCCACGGTGCCAGTTAAGTGGCTAAACAACAGTGCGCATCACTTCAGGATATGCAAAACTCTCACCAAGTGGTAGTAGTAGTGGTAGTAGTAGTAGTAATAATAGTAGCAGTAGTAGTAGTAGTCGTCGTCGTAGTAGTAGTAATAGTAGTAGTAGTAGTAGTAGTAGTAGTAGTAGTAGTAGTAGTAGTAGTAGTAGTAATAGTAGTAGTAGCAGTAGTAGTAGTAGTAGTAGTAGTAGTAGTAGTAGTAGTAGTGGTTGCTATTGTAGTAAGTAGTAGTAGTCGAAGTAGTAGTAATAGTAGTAGTAGCAGCAGTAGTAGTAGTAGCAGCAGTAGTAGTAGTAGTAGTGCAGTAGTGCAGTAGTAGCAGCAGTAGCAGTAGAAGCAGCAGCAGCAGCAGCAGTAGCTGTAGCTGTAGCTGTAGCAGTAGCAGTAGCAGTGGCAGTGGCAGTGGCAGTGGCAGTGGCAGTGGCACTTCCAGTGGCAGTGGCAGTGGCAGTGGCACTTCCAGTGGCTGTTGCTGTTGCTGTTGCTGTTGCAGCAGCAGTAACAGTAGTGGTGGTGATAGTAGTAGTATACTGCTATTACTACTATACTACTACTACTACTACTACTACTACTACTACTACTACTACTACTACTACTACTACCACTACCACCATCACGACACTACTGCTGCGGCCACGGCCACTGTCACTGCTACAAATACTGCCACGACGACCACGATTACAATGATGACTCTTACCTAAGTACTGCTAAATACCAAGAGCTATTTCAACCGACAGGCTCGACACAGCTACGAACACCAAGCTCCAACGATCACCAAGCATGCCAAGGATCTTCTTTGGCAAAGCGAGGAGACTCGGCCCCGAGCTACGTCGCTTGCCCTCCATGGGATCACAATTTGATTGTAGAGGGTTAGCAGCTTGTAAAACTTGGGTGCAGGGCTTTCAGTGTCTCAAGACTAGCAAAGTCAAGTGTGTGATATTCTATTACTAAATAAATATAACACAATGTATACTACAGTAGTAGTAGTAGTAGTAGTAGAAGTAGTAGTAGTAGTAGTAGTAGTAGTAGTAGTAGTAGTAGTAGTAGTAGTAGTAGTAGTAGTAGTAGTAGTAGTATTTAGATTAGCATTGTTATTCTTCTTGTTCTTGGTGACGCCGCCTGGTGTGAGTCCTATATGTTCTCTTGCTTTGGTGGTCGGGGGGGTGGGGTGGTGTGGGGGGTGCTTCACCAGCCCCAACTCTCAGCTTCGAGCCCCTGAACCTCCTGTACAAACACCCAATGCACCACATCGTGCAAGCCCGAAACACTGCGACGAGTCAACCGTTAATCGTGTTTGGGAAAATGGCGCTCCCGCTGCAGTAAAACCACTGTTTCGAGCACTGCGTTGCGGAAACTTTGTTAGCAAAACCTTCTCGTGCTGGAGAGCAGCTTTTCACGACTTTCTTCTTCCTCACACTTCCAAATCCAACGCATGCACACAAACGTGTACGCAAATCTTGCAAAGCGGCCAGAAAAGTGCTGCTGGCAAAGTCTCCGCAAAGCAGTGCTCCAGACAGTGGGTCTTACTGCGGCGGGAGCAGCGTTTTCCCAAACACGACTGACCCGTCACGAGGTTTCGCGGCCTAGAGATGCACTGCTTTTTATCATGAACGTGCGTTTCTCTGCATTTTGGCGCATTCCATGTTTCAGCTATACCACCACATGCCACTCACATACCAGGCGCCGCTACCTTCTCCTTATAGTTGTTCCCATTGTGCTTTCTGTTCTGCTTAACCTTATTCTTCTTCCGATTAATATTATCATCAGTGTATATATATATATATATCGTATACTATATGTACATTTGATTTCTTCGTCTGTGTGTATATAAAAACATAATGTATACACATATATATATATATATATACACATAAATACGTATACACATATATATATATATATATGCATACAGACATACATGTACACGCAGACATACATCTATAAATACACATACATACATACATACATACATACATACATACATGTATAGGTGCCTGCATGTATGTATGTATATATATATATGTGTGTACAACATATATATATATATATATGTATGTATGTACATATTGATGTACAAATACGTATGCATGTACATATACATATGCATGTACATCTACATGTGCATATACATACACATGAACATATACATGTACATGCACATGTATGTGAGTGTATATATGTATTTATGTGTATATATTTACATACGCACATACATACATACATACATGTGCATGTACAGATACATGTACATACACACATACACCTACAGATACGTCTACATGTACATATACAGATACATACACATACGTAGATATATGTCCATACCTATGTACGAATATATATATATATATATATATATACATATGTTCCGGACAGTGGGTTTTACTGCGGCGGGAGCAGCGTTTTCCCAAACACGACTGACCCGTCACGAGGTTTCGGGGCCTACATTCCATGTTTCAGCTATACCACCAAACGCCACTCACTTACCAGGCGCCGCTACCTTCTCCTTATTATTGTTCCCATTGTGCTTACTATTCTGCTCAATCTTATTCTTCTTCCGATTAATATTATCATCAGTATATATATATATATATATATATGTATCGCATACTATATGTGCATTTGGTTTCTTTGTCTGTCTGTATATATACATAATACCTACGTATGTATATATATATATATATATGTATATATATATATATATATATATATATATGTATTGTATATATATGTATATATACATGTATATACATGTATATACATGTATATACACATACATACGTATTTACACATATATATATATATACATATTTATATATAAAGATATATGCATATAGACATACATGTACACGCAGACGTACATCTATAAATACACATACATACATACGTACGTACGTACATGTATAGGTGCCCGCATATATATGTGTATATATATATATATATATATGTATATATATATGGATAATATATGCGTATATGTATGTACACACAGATGTACAAACACATAAGCATGTACATATACATATACGTGTACATCTACATGTGCATGTACATACGCATCAACATATACATGTACATGCACATGTATGTGAGTGTGTATGTGTATACATATACATATGCATACATACATACATACATACATGTGCATGTACACATACCTGTACATGCACACATACACCCACAGATACATCTACATGTACATATATATATATACACATAGATATACATATATATATATATATGTATATGTATATATTGTATATGTACATACATATATATATATATATTGTATTCCATATAGTGTATGTCATATATTGGAAACCATATATTCTGTATATCCGGTGTTCCTTTCCGGCACTCCTTGATTAAGAACTCGCTTTAGCGTTGAAACTGTGGCTTTAGATCTTTAAACCTCCGAGAACCTAAACAAATGTGACTACCTTCATGGAGCATCCCTGCTACTCCAGCTGGGTCCTTCGCACTATTCTTGCTGCGGGAGCTGCATCTGCTGCCGGACAAGTCGGTCTGGCAGCGGCGAAAGAGTTGGAGGATATATATTTACACTGATTCCAAATCAGGGTGGAGATTTGTGGCTCTCAAGGGTGTGACTGGCATGTTCCAAGGAGGCGTCTGCTTGTAGAAAGAATGCGCAGTTACTCGTCGCTGTCACAATACATCTCGGCAACTACCATGCTTGAGATGCTTAGCAAGCCATTCTGGCTTCCCAAGAACACCGAGTAAACCCAAACTGTCTAAATTCTACATGACCGAAATGGACAAGGCGAATTCGAGCCTAGCACAGACAGAAAATAATGAGAGTTACCCTTGACGTTGCAATTACAACGACGGCGACGATGAGCATAACTACCACCACAACCACAACCACTGCCACTGCCACCGTCACCGCCGCCGCCGGTCCTACTACTACTGCCACTCCTACTAAAGCTACTCCTACTACTGCTCCTCCTCCTCCTACCACCACTACTACTACTACCACTTCTACCACTACCACTACCACGACACTACTACCACTACCACTCCCACTCCCACTCCCACTCCCACTCCCACTCCCACTCCCACTGCCACTGCCACTGCCACTGCCACTGCCACTGCCACTGCCACTGCCACTGCCACTGCCACTGCCACTGCCACTACGACGACTACTACTACTACTACTACTGCTACTGCTACTACTACTACTACTACTACTACTACTACTACTAGTATTTACTAGTACCAGTCCTAGCCCTAGTGCTAGTCCTAGTACTAGTACCAGTACTAGTATACTACACTGCTACTGCTGCTGCTGCTACGACTCCCGCTACGGCTACGGCCAGGGCTGCTGCTACTGCTGTTGCTGCTACTGCGCCTGCTACTGCTACTGCCGCTAGTGCTGCTACTCCTGCTTCTGCCGCTGCGAGTACAACTATCGGCACATTTAACTACGTTGTCAGCGCAGCTCAGATGATGCTGTTAGAGCTCGTGGCTTCAATGCATGATGTCAGTTATAGGTGTTCTTACTCAGCATTGGCATTAAGGCGACTAAAGACACTAATGCCCCCTGCTACTGACGCTAGGTCAGTAATGCTACCTCTTCGGCTGTATGCCCTATTACTGTCTGCACAAATGCATGGTATTCCTGCGTATCAATCCCTTTGAAAACCAAGTCAACATCCGCATGTAAGTGAGAAGAGCATGCAGGGCACAGTTCGGACAACTGATGGAACTCCGCAGTGCTCTTTGAATTCTGGTCGCCTGCAGCACCACCTGCTCCTCTGTCACATGCCGCAGCGGTGGTTGCCTGTGTTTCTAGCGTAAAGCTCTCAAATGCGTCAGAATTGGATTGATCAAGGGTTGGGGGCCATTCGGCACTATGTGGGTTGCCGAAAACCTAAGCTTCAGGCCCATCAAGCTAGGTGAATGCGACCTAGCTGCAAAGAGAACCACTTCTAGCTGAAACGACACAACTCCTGAACAAGTAAGATCGTCTCCACATAGCATGGAACCACACACCAACAAACCAGAGCTTCTTCCGAAGGTGGGGACGTTTCAGGGCATAGTCGGGCCAATACTGCGCAGACTATGCCACACGCTTCAACTGACTTTTCGGTTCGAAGAGTCTGGCGAGCGCTGCAGTGGCCAATCGACGTTGTAACCGCCGCCCAAGCTAACGAACATTGAAGCCTCCGAACTCCGTCTCCGTCCGGCAACCTGTGGCGCATCTGCTTGCTTCCCTGCGAAGAGGTCCCAGCTTCAGCAGCAGGTGCTTGCGCTAGCCTGGGCAGGGCACGTGACACCAAAGACTCAATTCTCAATCCCTCCCTCCAATCCCCATGCCAAGCCGAGGCTCAGGGTTCGCTATGGCTAGGGTGAGAGCTTCCTCTGGAATCTTGCAAAGATCTTCTGCCAGCTTGCGCTGCCATTGAGGCTCGAGCTTTAGGACTTAGGTGCTTTTGAAAATAACTGCCTCCGACTGGTGGTGGTGGCCCAAGTCTTCAAGTTCATGTTTCAAATCTGTCGATGTCGGGGCAACCTTTCACGGATCGCAAAGGGCCCAAGCAGACTCTGCAAGGCTCCGCTCTCAATACGGGCCGTTCATATTGTGGTCTGATTACTGCTACTGCTACCCTCTTCCTGTTCCTGATCCTCCTGATACTACCACCACTATGACTTCGTTCCCCACGACAAAGACGAGCTTACACTGGAGACCAGGCCACAAATTCTCGGAGCTGATCGTCTGCAACCCGGAGAGGTTGACGTCTCCAGTAGATGCGAGGTCGGTGGACAAAGAGCCCTGGATGCCCTGATCGGTTCTTGAGTTCAGGGTTCAGGACGAAACATTGCTTTTGCAGGGCTGTCGTGAAGCTTTGGGGATCGCTGTCTGGCTTGCGATCCGCTTGCATAGAAAACAGGTCTTGCGGGGCTGGCGTCAGGTAACAGTGACAATGCAAGACAGACATGGACACGTCTCAGGCGAGACGCTCCGCTCGGTCAAAACGAGGCAAGCATGAGTCGAAAGGAGCACTCTGGCAACCCAGGTTGTTTCTCTGTTGTGTCGTTCAGCCAGGACAGCAAAGGACCGCAAGATCTAGGTCAGGGCTTTCGGCTCCTAAAGATCTGCGGGCAACAGGAGAGCCGGAAGGGCAACAGGGACAGTCGACACCAGGCCACCAGACTAGAACCCTGGAAATATCGGATCAGCGGGCGGTCAACGGGCTGTCGGGGACGAGCAGCGATGTCGGACTTCGGGAAGGTGCCACGTTCAATTAGGGCAGGAGCAGCACCATCACCGGAAGCATCAGCAGCAACGGCAGCATCGTCATTTTCCTAGTCGGACTCGTCCTGGTCTTCGTGTTCGTCGCCGTCGTCGTCGTCACCGTCGCTGCTGTCGTCGCTGCCGCCGTCTTGGTCGCAATGCTTGCCATCAGCATTGTAAATACGTGCACATGCAGCACTGCACCGCAACAGCAAGTTAGAATCACAGCACCGTTTTGGGAACACAGCACCTAATTCAAGAGAAGGCAAGACGGGGAAATAGCAGTTACAGCACTCCAAAGAAAGAAGACCTTTTGAAGCAGGAGCACAGGTGGCTTGCTTGGCCATAGCAGTCTACTGCCAGTAGAGCACAACAACAAGCGTAGTCGATTTCCTGCTGCCAGGGGCCAGAGTTGCTTGACGTATTCAACCTTGATCGGGACAAACACAACATCAACATCGGTCTACAGTCAACTGCCTGCTTGCTGCTGCGGGCGCACGGGGATGAGGTTGCAATTGCGACATGGATGCAACTTGTCGGAGGCCCATGTTGGTGTTCGTCATTTGTACGACCTGAAACCTGCAACACTTTCCAACAGTACCATGCTACGCAGGGGTCATGGAGGGTCGGGGAGTTTGGCGGTTCTGCAGACTTTTCTGGAAACGGTCGCAAGTTCCTGAGCTGCTGTATGGTGTGTAGCGCTTTCAAACCGGAGGGCATGCTGGAATCAACTCAGCTCGGCTGAAAAGTTGGTTGTTCCTTACTTGGTCTTCCGCCCTGAAGAATGTGAAGCAAGAGGACCAGAAAGCTCCAAGATCTGCCGAGCCTTGAGTAGTCGAGCTATCATCTGCTCATGTGCCTGCTTGCAAGAGGGTTTTGTAGAAGTTTGTAAGTTTGTAACATGAGCGGTACCTGGATTGATTTGTCGTCCTCATAATCGGGACCGCATCCTGCTGTTTGGACTCCATAGCTTCGGAAACTGACAAGCAGGGCTTTCGGACGGAGGACTTCGCCCCAGTGAAGTACCCTGGTTTGGAGATCTTTTGGGCTCCTAATGTTGCGGGTAAGTCTAGAGATCCTGTCTTCAACTCTGTGAAGCGGCTTATTACTTTGCAAGTCTTTGTGCTTAGAGCCTCTGGGGAGTCCTGTGCTTCACGTCTAGAAGCGAAGTGCCGACGACGGTTCATCCAATCGTGCTCTTCCACTGTGTCATGCATGGTGCAAGACTCAGCAATCTCGACATACCTAGACCCTCAACCGAGGACATCGAACCTGCTGGTGGAACATCGTGTGCTAGGCACCGCGCAACTTGATACCCTAAACAACTAAATCTTGCAGTGACACTGACGGAAGCTGTCTCCAGCATGTCATCTTGAGGTCTCTTTGCCAGGAACCCTTCATTTCGCAACTGCATATCCCAACCGGATATACCTAGCAACCTAGTACACCCCAAGAGTCTCAAAAGCTCCACACAAGAATTGTATCATATCGGCTGCAAGCCTGTGAGATTTCAACACCATTGAATCAGTATTCACGAACATGGCTTCTTCGTTTAAGGGAATCAGCAATGCACCACGGATGGCTGCATGAATTCTGGCACTTGCTGACTGGCCTGCTCAGTTGGTTCACAGGACCGGGTATGTTTGAAACAAAAGAGGTCGTGGCAAGTGGATCCCCAGCATCCTGGACCACAAGACAAAAACTCAAAGTCAAAGCCGAACCTCCAAAGCAGAAGCGTGCCAAACCCTGAACCTATCGTTGATGGCGGTCTTGCAACAAGGCCTGGTGGACCTGGGGGCTCCACTCATCCAGCTTCCGCAGAATTTCATCAATCTTACTGTCAACCTGAGATGCCCAGATATGTCCAGAAGAACACTCAGAGGGATTTGTCTCAAGCTCGGACTGGCAAGGCTTGCGGCACCTAGGACCTAGGCTTGGAGGCTGGGCCTACGTACTAGGTAGTATGTTGTGCCCGGCTGTTCATGTTGACCGCTCATGAGAGGGCCATTGGCATGACGACACCCGGTTGAAATGGGAACACCGGCAAAGCTGCACCACGTTCGGGGAAGCATGCACATGCAGAAGCACCTAGACACACAATTAACCAACCAAACACGCCAGCAAACACTCACACACACACACAAGCAAACAAGCGAACAAACAAAACAAACAAACAAACAAACAAACAAACCAACAAACAAACAAACCTTTTACTTTGACTTTGGCTTTGACGCTTTGTGCAGATGTCTGCTGTGAGCACGCCCCAGCATTTGCGTGGACCCGTCACTCAACGTAAGACAATGACATGTCTGAACAACTGTGAGTTGAAGCCTCAAACAAACAAACCAACACACAAATACATAAATTAACAAAACACAAATGGATTCGCAAAACTCAACACAACAACTGAACAAATACATGCACACACACACACACACTCACACACTCACACACACACACACACACACTCACACACACACACACACTTCGAAGCTGGCTGCACAAGTAAACTAAGTAAACGAGCGAATGACGGCGTCAGACAAGGCAGCAAAACACTTTGAATTCGCTACGTCTTGGCCTGCAGAACTCGAAGGTCAAGCCGCGTGGTCGAAGAATCTAACAGCAGCACCTACATATCTGTACGACAGGACGCCCGTTGCAAGGTAACTTCCGTCGAATCTGCCGAGCCTGCAAGTGGGTTTAGGGCGCTTGGTGGGGAGTTGCCCGGTTTGGGCAAGGCTTCCGAGTTCAGGGCTGAGGGTTCAGCTGCTGCTACCACCAGCATACCACGCCGACCAATCGAGACAACGACTGCATCTGCGACAGGTTGGGCGCAAAACTCTCGGATCTTGGTGCTGCTGTTCGTGAGCGTGGGGTCTGCAACCTCGAGTAGCTTCATGAGCTCCCCAGCACCCTCACCCCGGAAGACCTAAAACAGGCCCGAGCCTCTAAAGTTTGGTGCAAACGGGAATTCGGGAGATTCTGGGTCCAAAAAAAAACTATGGTGGGCTCATTGGACCTACATGCAGCTTCGACGCATCCCGAAAACCTCAAGCTTTTGATGATGAAGCTCGCTTCCAAGACTCAGACACTGAGTCGCTATGAGATACTGACACTAGCGCCGCAAAGTCATGGTGTAAGCTTTTGGGGTACAAGCTTCCAGCTTCACGGCCGGACAAGAGACGACCGCTCACTCAGCCAAAGCAAGCAGATCTCCAACACTAGGTAATAAGACCACGACTATCAGGCAGACTCTGGCGTGAGACCAAATGCAGGTGGGGGGGGACCCTTGAACTCCGTGCTCCTGTGCTCGTATTGGCCTTGAGGGATCACCAGGGGCCAGTCGGGGCTCGGGACCGGTGCGCGAAGAGTGTTCGGAAGGCGCCCGGCGGAGCACTGCCAGTTGCACCTTCCAAGAGTGCCTTGCTTTTCCGCCGTCCGACATCCTCCTCCCGCCACATTCGTGTTTCCGCCTCAAAAATCGCGCTCCCAGCATTTCTGCCTCCAGATGTTGGGCTCCCCACGCTCGGGCAGATGGACTCATGTAACGGGTGGTCTAGTCTAGACTGGTGGGATTCCGAAATGTGTTATCTATGAAAGCTGATAACCTCTTGCCGTTTGTGACAGTTTGAGGTCTTTGGATGGGGCGAGACGAACAAAACCGCCGAGAGCACCGTGCTTCAGGCGTTTGTTCGTCCAGGCTTCAGGGCCAGGGCAACAAACATGAAAGCCATGAACAACAGTGCTGTTTAGGTCTGTGCCATTGACCTCCTCGCCTCACCATCTAAACTTCATGAAGCACAGGCATGGCATGGCTTTGCATGATCGTCTCTCGGCTGCCCAGAAGTCATAGAACGAAACCATGGAAACGAGCCGTAAGTGGACAACTGTGACATCAGGTACATACACAGTGCTCAATAGCTTGAAGGGTTTTGAGTGCATGGCCGATTACATAGGATCTGTGATCGACCCCGACATGCTGATGCCTTTGAAGAGACCGCCAAGTACACTGATCATAATAAAACGATACACCCCATGAAGCAGCAAAGCTTTGATCCCGAAGCTCTGTGCAAGTTCGGCTCCTGAATCGCGTCTCAAAGCCCGGGTCCGGTGAAGGTCTCACGGATTGGGCTTCGTGGCTCGTGCTTAGGACCCAAAGCCGAGGATTCTGCGGTTTATGGCTCAGGGCATGTTTTTGAGGCTCGCTTCCGAGTGCTTGGCTAGCTTCAAGACTTCCGGATACGGAGGCATTGGAAGCAAGACCAATAAAGCAATAAAATCCACATCATGAGGCGTAGTTTGAAAAGGCTGTCAAGACAAGCAAAGCCGAAAGCAGTTGCCCCGAATACACCGCCTATCCACAAACTGGGTACCCAACAAAGGCAGGCTTGGAGTCATTCAGGGCTTCAGCTATCGATGGACAGTGATCGAAGGAATTCGAGTTGAGCACAGGGGCTCTTCGGAAAGTACATTGAAACCCATCATAAAGCCTACCTGCCTGAAACTGCACCTGTACTTTGTGTGGAGTTTTCGGTCTTCAGCATTCGATGCTCACATGCACTTTACAATTCTCTAGGATTCAAGAATGAGGGTTGAGCGATGCATGCGCTGAGGGCTTTAAAGCTAAGTTTGTGACAATGTTGCATGGCGCGTTCATGGAAAGGACATTCGGCTTCTTCAAGGAGTCGGGCTAAGCGGCTAGGACCAAGGAACCGGTCGTGTTCTTGACATTGACAGCCCACGTCCGTACCCAAGACACGAAGCCACTTCAGGGCAACCAACGCGTAACTAGCCCAACCGCGCCTTCGCCCATCTTGGCAGTGTCCACTTTCAGCGGAAACGCATGTGCCGCTGGCATGCTCCGCACGGGAGCAACTGGTTGCTAAGGGTTGCTGTTGTAGCGGTCACGTGCGCAGATATGTTCTTCCTTCGAGAAACTGTTCAAGACTGGCTGAACGATTTGAAATGTTGCTTGCGTGTTGTTTCGTGGGCTGCTTGCGTGTTGGTCCGGAACCCTTGGGGTTCCTGAGAAATTCTGCGGTGAGGAGCTGAATTTCGGATTCGCTAGTGGCTTTGCGTCACGATTTAACTTGGAACACCTCTCCAAAACTGCAGCCTCCTCAGCATCTGCACTGCCGAAGCGCAGCTGCTGCTAAGTACAGCCCGCACCCACACCTGTTGCTGCATGCCTCAAACCCGATCTCTTCACATGATTTCACCAACATCTCGGCCTGGAGGCGTTTGGAGCTTAATCAGGCGGCGTATTACGAATGGCATCCTGGCCTTGCAAATAGTCACGACACATCCCTTCCAGTCTTGCCAGAATCACCTTCAGATGTAGCGTTGCCGCGTAGAGCTCTAGCCGAAACCAGAAGTCACGCATGATATAACCTCGGGTTCTAAGGACCAGATTCTCAAAAGCCTAACTGGTGACTTTACGTTGGGCGCGAGTCACTGTAGTCTTATCTACGGGGGACGAATAACCACCTAGAGCTTTGAAGTTCGATAATGCGGCCATATGCGGCTGTTGCTTGAGGTTTTCATCTTTCGGCTTGACATTTGGTCCAACTGCAGAGCTTACGGTTCACTGCCCGACTGCCCATCACTTCCCCAAGGATGTGGGCTCAGGTCGGCACAACATCGATGCCCCTGTGGAGGAAGGCTTCCTGGCCATGCGAGGGCGAATGAAAGCAGACTCCAGAAGCATGGAACTTGCCCAAGCTCACAGCCAAAAACAATTGTAGTTATGCTGTTTCTTCTCGAGATCATCGGGTGTTACACACCGCCCGATGCTCAGCCGCCACTCTCGGCCTCCCTCCCGACCGGTCTGGTGGGATACAGCGGGTCATGAACTTACCCAACTTCGGGTTACCTTCAATATAACGTCGATACCTATCTTCCAGAGGTACGGCCTTTTTCTGCTATGGGAGACTGCTGTGGTGTGCGAAGATGGAACTATTTCTCCACAGCCATGTTGTCAAGAGACCCAAGAAGAAGAACCCTGCTCTATGCCAATATGGCTTATTATGGCTTCCGGACTATGCTAGTATCGTCCTTACCCATGTCTTGACACTAGTTTTGTAACTCTGCAAGCCACTGACGTAATTACTACGAACGCTGCCACTCCTCCCACCAACTCTCACTATAGCGAGAAATGGTTTGGGCCCGTGCGGCCTCCGTGCTCCCGCGAACGCGGCGGCCTTTGGACCCACCTGCGCCTTTTGTCAGCGCCACGCAGACTTTCTCCGGCGACAATACGATACCGTCACTCGATGCTTGATCTCTCTCCGACGGTCCAATGGCCTCTGTATTATTGCTATGCCCTTGGTACTTGTAGTATTCTAACTGTCTTGCTCCGTTGCCACGTCTAAGTCTGTAATTTGATGGATGGAGTGCTGGATAATCTCAGACTGCAGTTCGCCGCTCAGCGTACGTCATCGTATCAGGATCGTTCCTTCCTTCCGCAAAAAACGCAGAAATCGTCTCTTTACGTTTCAACTCCCAGGTTGATGTGCTCGTGCTTCAGAATCAGATCTTGCGCTACTCTAAGGGTGGAGGCCTCCAATTTCCTCAGGATTTGTCGCTCAACGCTTTACGAGGCCATCGCAGATCGGAGACAAACGACGATGCGGGAATGCAGGCGTTTCGCCTTTAAATTGCCAGGAAAGGGTAGGACTCCATTGTTGAACCACTTCATGGCCACGAGACCAGGTGACCAAATCAGAAATGGCTCAGTGATACGGCTACGACTTAGTTTTCACGGCGACAAGGCCTGATAAATCGGCTAGGGAAGGCCTGAAATTCAGACTCCTGCGGGTTGAGTCATGGTTTTTTCTGAACTTGTGAAGAGAAGGATCAATATATGCACTCAGATTCAGGATCTAAGCCCTGCTAGATCGGGGTTGAGGAATTGAGCTTCCTGTCCAGGATGGCAGGAATCATACGGGGGCAGTTGTGCTGCTGCTAAGTCGTACTTCGCGAGTCCTTAAGGCACGTAGTTAGGCACGTAGCTTACGTGCAACCGTGATGCTGAAGGCATGCCCTGCAAGGATGAAAATCGCACTGCATCGGCGACTTAGAGTACATGAGAGCGACAGCGATAGAGCTGAGACTCATGCAAGCAAGAAGAGTAAGAGATGATCCCCCACGACTAGCATATCAAATGCTTCACTCGGAAAGGGCTCATCCTTGCGCCGAAGACGTGCGCCTGTGAGACTTCCTCAGACGTCCTTTGGACAAGGCCTGGAAATAAGAAGCCTGACGTGTTCGGGCCAGCGCGGTCTGGGCTTGTAGATTCCAATACTTGCTTTCAGGAGGCCTTCCTCAATGCTTTCCTTTCACGTAGAGACACAAGAAGTAACTATGCTCCATGATCCGTTAGGTCCCAGAATCCGAACTCAACATAGAAAGATGCGCAGACTTGCGCAATTATGAGATTTCAGTCCCTCCCACCTACTCATTGTTGTTCCAAAACCCAAAATTACCCACCGACGAAGCCCTGCAATTCTTCACACTGGATTCACCAGCTCCCATGTGGGATTCTGGGATTTCGGGACTGTAGCTAGGATCTGTTTGGGTACCGCGCCCCGACAGGCGCGACTCGATCGCCGAACCGAACTGACACAGAGACGGAGGTGAGCATAGGTCTTGGGTGAAGGTATCGCATTGAAATTGCTTCGGCCGATAAATTTGCCCAGACCACATCTTCCCTCCTTGCAATTCAACTTAAATCGCACTTGCTGCGCAGAGCTTCCAAGGCATCGCAGCAGAAAGAAGTTCTGGCCTGGCCAAGCCTTTCTCGATAGGCAGATCTTGGAGGTGCTGACTGCCGTGGGCCGGCTATAGACGCGATGCCCCCATACACGAGCAGCCACGCAGCTTGTTGCAATTGTGATGAGGCCACTCTATACTCTCCCCGTCGAAACTCAGGCAGTGGGAAAGTCTGCGGTAGGTTGCATACTAAGATTGCTAGTGCGCGCACACCTACTTAAGAGAGCATATAGCACAAACCTCGATTCCAATTGCTTTGCCTGGCAGCAGCTTCGCTGCTCTACTTCTCTACAATTTGGCTCTCCCTGTCTCCAAACCTTGCTTCGCCTAGGGTGCTGATCAGCTGGAGCAAATGAGGCAGACAGCCAAGCTTGAACTGCTTCGAGCTGCACCAGGTTTCAATCCGCTAGGTCAAACTCTCGAGAGGGATCAGCTTGCGGAATTGCTGCAATGCACATGATCACACGACACCAGGCCCACATGCTCAAGTATACAACCAAGGAAGGCACACACAAACACACACACACACACACACAAAGAACACCTAGGGAACCCTGCAATGCGAGAGCCTCTGCATCCACGCTGGGAGCACGGTAAGACTATGACTCAACAGGACGGCGATTGGCTTTTGCATCGATGAGGCTTGACCTTTATTCAGAGGGTTCAAAGGCAAGGGCCAGGGGTGTCCCAGCTTTCGCATCGTTGCCTAAGTCTAAAGCAGTTCGTGCGCGAATCAGGGGAGCTGTCGGCATGGCTTGCGTTGAAGCACTCAGGCGGCACCACTCCTGAAGACTTCGACAGGCTTGGGACTTGTGGGAAAACAGGTGTATGGTTCCGTCGAGCAGGTTTAAACACGTCGACAGTCCACCGACAGGTCAATCGGGAACTGTGAGCCACAGAACGGCAAACAACACACTGACTGGAATGGAGTTTCTCGGGGTCGCCTGCTTCACAGCCCTAAAACCCAATACACAAGCGGTTGTAGACAGCACAACCAGCTTCCTCGTCAGAAGGATGATACAGCAGCGGGCTATAGGTTTAAACCTCCTGCAGACTCACCACGATCTCGGAAAGCACAGGCTGGAGGCGGACTAGACAGGGTGTAGAAATCACGGCTTCCGGGTTGCAGGTAGCTTGCATAAGTCATGGCTCAGAATTCGAGAAAAGGTGATAGACGGTCCGATGTCAGCGCTGTACTTGGAAGGGGGATCTAACCAGCAAGCTATTCATGATAGACCCTGAGCGGCTAGGAGGAATTCTCGGCGACATTGTCAGAGTGCCTCGTTTCGAAAGAATCACAGAAGCTATCCCACGGAAAACAGCAGCCGACAAGAGTCAACCTCCTCAAGCCCTCAACATTTCGAACAACGATCAGATCAAGGCTCGAGGAAAGCAGCTCAAGTTCCCATCCGCGAAAGAACGCCAACGAGGCCGGAGAGCAACCCGCCCACAGTGATGAACTGCCTGGCGCACTTGGTATGTGTCGGAGTCTATGAGGGTGCGCGACTTAGGGCTTTTGAAGGGGCTCCGTCCAACAGAAGAGAAACTACGGGTACCAAACGACTCAGAGCGCGAGGGATTCAATCAGGGCGGCGAAGGGCTTCAAGCCCCACCATGAATATCATGAATCTACAAAGGTTCTCCACAGAACTGCGCTAAAACGACAGCTTCCATGCAGCCTACAAACCATGATCCAAATAGATATCACCTGCGTCCTCCTCAGCACATGACTAAGTCTACCTTGCGTTCTAATTGTTGCTATCGCTGTCGCGCGCCCGTCCACCCAGTCTGGACACGTCCTGACTTGCGGACACACAATCGACGTCTACATGCGGGGGGTTCCACTGTGGACCTCGCATAGGCCCCCTCGACCGAAGCAGACATCAACACACGGCTCGCAGTACGCACAATTATCATGCAAGCTTTGAAGCTATGCAGGTAAGACTCAACATCCCCCGCTTGTGCGCTACTTACTCGTCTATAGAGGCGGGGTGTTTATGAATGTCGGATGCCGCTAGCGAAGCGAACACGCTGAACTCCTTCCTCGGTGGTCTAGCAGCCAACATGAAAACTCGAAGCTCAAACCGC